GACCTTTTCTCAATGGAGGAACATAAGTACAAGACGATTGGCCCAAACGGATGTTTGCTTTTTTTTCTTCTCAATTTCTCTGATAATTTCAAGGCAGGGGGACTTTACACATTCGTAAAGCTTAATTTTCAAGTGATAAATATACAAATTAAAATAGTGAGTCATCATATCGATGGCTCAAATAAAATAAAAAATGTTGATCAAATTTTCTGCGAATCAAGAAAATTTACAGGAAATATGAAGAAAAATTATTCGTTTTCTTTTAAAAAAAAAATAAAACATGATCGGATATTTACTACACCGCAAACGAGGAGAGGCATTTTTTACATTAGCCACCAATATCTTACAGTTTCAACGAATTTTTAGAGGGGAAACAAATTCTCACGATGCTCTTCCCAGCAGGGCGTGTTTTTAGTGCAAGGCGTAAATAATCGGCGATTGATATTTTCGCATTCGAAGCCTTGGCAAAAAATTGACTATTGAGGTACATCCTGACAATCGATCCTTTTCCTCAGTTTTAAACGACAGATCAATTGATCCATCGCAAAGCACGACACGCCACCGGTAAATTATTATTTACGCACATGCATGTTCTTGTCATATTTGAAAGAGTGACACAGCTCGGAGAAATTACTTCTCATTCAACTTAAATACAGGAGGACGAGGAGGAGGAGGAGGAGGAGGAGGAGGAGGGGAGGATAAATGAGATTGAAGGAAGGCATTTTTAAAATCATCCTGGATTATACACTTTGTAATGCTGGAATCTTCATACTATCTAAACTCTAAACGTCTTTCCCTCCTTAGACGAAAGAACGTAACTCAATTTCAATGTCGCATAAAATCCTCAATCAATTTTTCACAGAAATATGACTATGCAACGGTAATCCTAAATTTTGCTAAATTTGAAAATGTTGCAGTATTGCCATAAAGTCACGCTCATTCTTTTGGAAAACAGCGTATTCATACTTTCTTCTCACGGAAGAACTTTCAGACCAAAACCGGGACCTGAGAGCTTTCTTTACTGAAGCTAAAGATCGAGGCTAAGTTTTGGTTATAATCCTAAAATATGTTCGCACCAATTGGACTGCATTTTGCAATTTGGACCTATAAATTCTGGTTCTTCTGAAAAAACACGTTTGTGCATAAGGAAACTAATGGCACATACGTTGTTTTCAAACCGGGCTAGAATTTATAGTTCCAAATTGCAAAATGCAGTCCAATTTATCCTCTAGATATATCAGTCCATAACTTAGGTTTGCCATTCCGCGGTCCTAATATTCTGGAGTTGGCCCGGCAACCGGTTTCTTAACCATGGGCGGTGCAGACCGTGGTGGTTCGGGGGTTCGATCCCCGATAGAATCCTGCCTAAAATCCCCCGGTGAACCCCCTCGGCCCTTTTCAGCCAGGTTCCTCATGGTTTGATACTGTTCCTGTCTCTGGCCAGGCATACTGTCCATCGGTTTGACCATCTTCGGCGCGGCGTCCGATGTTTTGGGTCTCGCGACCGGTTCGCCCCGCGATTCCGGTCTGTCGAACCGGTTCGAATCCGGTACTTTCCCCGGCGATGTGCTCATTCTTTTTCCGGCGTCATCAAACCTAACATCGCCTGGTGCTGTTACTAATTTCCTCCCCAAATCTTTCGGGGAAGGGGGTTCTCTGATCCCGAATTTCGGCGAGAAGTCCGGGGATGATTTTTGGGGCTCCACCCGCCGCTCACCCGTCGCGGGTCTGGGTATATTTTTTGGGGGCTCTGACCTCGTGAAAGGTTGTGGGGTCACGACGGGATCCCTTTGTGGAGACTCGGAGAATCTTTGTTCTTGTGGGGTTGGGGGTTTCGAATTAGTGGGGTTGCCTGTCGGAGCGGGGCTAGGGGTGGCAGGCTTACTAGGGGCAGTCGGCGTGGGGGGTTTGGCGGATATTGGGGTTGGTGGTTTTTCAGGGAAGGTATTAGGACTGGCCGGTTTTGGAGGGTCTGGCCTGTTAACCTCTGGTAACCTTTTGGGCTCGTCCTTCGAAGGTTGATTACCGGAATTTTCGATGGATAGCGTTTTTTCTAAGCTAGCACCGCTAGGTTTGATAGGTTTCTGTTCAGCCGAGTCAGGTCGGACCTGATTTTCACCCCTATTTTCCGCAGTTTTAGGTCTTAGCCCTGGGGACTCAATTTTAACCTCCTCGATTTTCTCGGGAGTTTTTCTCGGGGGTGGATTGTCCTTTTCCGGCGTTTGGTTAGGGGTGAGTTTTTGTTCGATTTTATTGTCGTTATTGTCTGTGCTATCCGGCGGGGTCCTCGTTTCGTTTTTCGCGGAGTTGGTGTTGATTGAAGGTGTGGAAGGCGGTTTCAGCTCGGCTGGTGATTTTGGCTGATTGTCGGGCTCCTTCAGGACTTTTTCCTGATTGGAAAGAGGAGAGGAGCCCGGCGTGAGCCTGTCCTCGAAGGGTTTCTCGCTTTTCGCATCTGGGAAGCCTTTCGGCGCCTGTCCGTTCGGCGTCAGATGGATAGGAGATCGTCGGTCTCTCGACGATTTTCTCGAGGTAGATTTCGATCGATTCTGAAACAAGAAACAGTTTTCGGCCGAAAATTAGAGTAGCTTTCTTGGGATGGAAGTATGTATATGTCGCAGGCAATTAGTGAAAATTGACATTTTATCAAACGCCTTGGCAGATAGCCAAATTTCGACAATTTACGAAATTTTGTAAATTTATGGTGAAGAGCTCTGCTCGATTTTTCGATATTTTGGGGCAAATAACTCATCAAATCTACGCTCTCCCCTTATTCTTTCCTCTTCAAATAATGCTGATACATTTAAATGGTAAAATCTTAAAACTTTCTGTATTTTATGATATGCTGAAAATTTCAAGATAAATATTCGTTCAGGAGTTAAAAATCGTGTTGAAGACTATTGTATACTTAATTTTACAGAGAATTGTAACTTTTAGGAGAAGTGAATTATTTCGCCTGAAATTATGATGAGAATAAAAATTTCGATCTGAGTTAGAGTATTGGACTATTTGCCTAGGCATATTTGAAAAAATGCCTGATTTTACTATTTGCCTGGGACAAATCGATGGCGTAAGTCCGCAATCACATAATTCGATTACGGTGTCTGAAAATCTCCGCCTCTATGTTTTTTTTTTTTAAAGGAGAACAAATTGACATCATTCCTTGAAGTTTTTACAGAATTTTCGTGGTACAGAGAGGAAAAATCATGGTAGTCTTAAGGAATTGATGTTGAGTAGTTTTCCGTTTAAATAATAAAGTATGATAGGAAGTCTGCGACGTCGCAAATGGAGTTATGTGATTGCCGACTTACACCATCGATGTAATAAGTACTGAGTTCCATTATAACCCTCAGGATCCAGAACTATGCGGCGGGAACTCTGGATAGAAGGAAATTGTCGGCAATTTTTTTTTTACCTGAGGTTCTTAATTTCACCGTAAAGCTCAACGCCTCAAGCATAAGGCTGACCTTTTATTAGAAACTTTTCTGAGTATGAGTATAAATTAGCTATTTGAAAATTTGAACAATTCGTAGTTGGATCCGATGCGGTATGAAATACTCTATCTCAAGTCATCAATAACACTTTTTGAAAAATGAATGATAAATGAGGGGCTTGGAGGACAAGGCGCATAAGTGAAGTTTTTGAAAGAAACGAGGTTTTAATATTATTTCAAGTACAACTAGTCTTAATGCATATTTTGTGAAAAATTCGCTCCCAATGTTTAAGCATCAAAAAGTCAGTTTTAACTTTCTTTCCGCCATAAGGATCCATGTAATTTCGAAACTTCAAACACGTATTTCTCGAAATAGCAAAAACTGCACTTACGCGCCTTGTCCTCGACGCCCCTCAAATATGCACGTTTAGCATTGATTAAAAAACTTCGTTTTTCTACGAGCTCTTATGAAAGGTAATAAACGAACTCCGTCTTGCGATTAGGAACTGCAATTTCTGGCTCATCGGTAAAAACACTAATGTGCATAGGGAAACTAATGGTGCAAACTTTGATTCTGATCTAAGCCAGAAATTGTACTTCCTAATTTTAATAAATATAGTCCAAAATTATGTTCAGTGCGTGGGCGGAACAAGATATTTTTGTGTCGAGCCGGAAGGGCACCTAATAGGTCTGCTGCTGGAGGGGTACTGGAAGGCATTCCGCTAGGAATGGGGTCCTCGACTCCCAGGAAAATTTTGAAAATAAAATCTCAGGGTGCAATTTTGAGCAGATGTTACCATTAATATTAATTCAAATTCGATCAACCATGAGTCACGTATTTATTCAGTGAAACTCCTCACATTTTCTGAAGGGGTCAAAGTAACTTTCTGAGGGTCTTCCGCGCCATATTGGACGCATTTCTGCCAAGCGGAACTATGTGCACTAAGACATAAGCCCTGGGACCCATAAGAATATGCGCATAACAGGGCTTACGTCATAATGCACATAGTTCCGTTTGACAGAAAAACGTCCTATTCTAGTTCCACCCGTGTATTAAGCTGAGTATTAATTTGATTTTTACATTTCGTAAAATCTATGCTAAAGTTTCTCTAATTCCACTCTTTTTCTTTTTCTCATGTTTAAGAAAAACTCTCAAAATTAAAAAAATCTGTATCTAAATCTGAAACTTGTGCAGTTTCTTTCCTTTTCCAGAATCTAAATGAGTATGTCCAAACATGTTCCATTACTTACATTAAAACGGACATTTTATTCCTAATTACCAATGTTTTCGTGAAAGGTGCATCGAAGCTGGTGTGCAGGTGAGTCTAAGTGCAACAAGCCACATTAATGAATAAAATAATTACAAAAAATACGATATCCTTTTAAAGATAAACAAAGTGGTCTTCATCATAACAACCTGTATAAGTGATAGTTCTTTCGTGTTAATTTTCACCCATTTTTTCTTTTATCAGGATCAAAACATGATTTAGATGGTAGAAAGTGAAGCCGATAAAAAGGTAATTAGCTATTATTCATTTTTTTTTTGGAGAAAAATAAAAACACCAACTTGTAATGAATGTATATTATACTGAACAATAAAAAAGGGTAAATTTCATGAGTACATGAACGTATAAATCAGTTATCACTATGGATGCGTAGGTACCTTAAAATTTCATAATCAAAAATTTATAGAAAGAATGGAAAAGAACTAGATTTTCTTTGGTTAGGAAAGTGTATAAAAACTAGATTACAAAGACATTAAACATTGGATTGCCTTTAACATATTTTTGATCACAAAAATAACAAAATTTTTTCAGTAATAATGTAGGCAACAAATAATAATTTTAGTTCTATGGTATGTGTTTAATGGAAGATAAAATTAGTATATCTTAAGACTATTAAATCTCAAACAGATAAAAAACATCAAACAAGTAGAGACAATAATTAATTCCATTTTTTGCGAGACTAAAATGTCAAAATTACATGTATCATTCGTGTGAAAAGCTTGGTGAGAATTTTTTAATGCCCCATTTGAAGGGCTCAAAGCCTAAAAGGCTGAGTTTTGAGACACCGATTTTTGAACTACCCTCTACTAGTATTAAGTGGCCGGATTGAGAATCTTAATTCTTTTCTTTTTATATGTATTTTAGTCAATTTTCTAAATTGAAACGAACGTAATACTGACTAAAATGCAAACATATAAACTATGAATGCCTAATGTTCCAAAAAGCAATCAGCAAAATAATTAAACTGACATAAGTAAAAGGCTCACATGGAATTTTGTCAAAATATGCAGAATGTAATGATGGGTCTAAGGAATTATCATAGAATCTTCTACTTTTAAAGACGAAGACCTAAGAGTAAAGTGACACATCCTCAATGAAAATGGGCTGTATTTCTCGAATAGAAACCAAGAGGTATCACCGTATGCAAGATTTCAGTGGATAGTTCATTTGTTTCTAAGTAGACAGTTGTACTGATATTGCTTAAAAAGTCTCAGGAAATTTTCTCTTCCCTCAAATTTTCAAGAGAATATGTAAGCAATTGTTCTTTGGTGAAAAAAAATTGCCATTAAATTTATAGCAACATTTGATGTCCAGTGGCGAAGCGTGAATGATCGTTTATCGATGTTTCCCTATTTGAAGCTAGGGTAATGGATCAATTTTTAAGGAGTTCGTTGCGAACACCCTGTTTATCGATCCTTTTCCTGGGATTGAATGGCAGATTAATCGACACTTCGCAAAGCACGCCACGCCACTGGTGATGTCATTAATTTCTCCCTTGAGAAACTCTACTCTTTACATAATAATTTTACGATTAGTCATGTTACTTGTTGTTTTTTGGCATGAGATCGACGGGACTCTATGAACTCCATGTGTCAAGTAAACCTTTATTTCGATGTTTGCTATTTTTTTCGCGAATCTTTAAAATGAAACCTAATAAAACATTTATTGTTGAAAAAAATGATAGATTGGTAATAAATTTTACGTAGCTTTATTGGTCAAACTATATTAATTCCGAGACGCGTTTTATAAGAAGCAGACGGCGGGTTAAACGAAAAAAATACATTTTTAGAACATTTAAAGTTAGAAATTTGTCTTTTAGATCTCTTATTGGCTATTTGATGTCGAGGAACAATTAAAAATGTGACTGCGCCTCACACCTTAAATTTTAAAAGGAATTCAAAATAACTTTAAACTTTATATTCATAAAGAAGAATAAAACCTTATATACCTATGCTAACGTGTATGTACAATATTTACAATTAGAACATATAACTTTATTTTAGCTTTGCCAATTTTGACAATGAAATATACTTTACAAATACGATTCTTTTATCTCTTAGTGATGAGAATCATTTTTCGGTCACTCATAACGTCTTACACATCCTTGAATTTTATTTGCATTAGTTGCCAAATAGAAATAGTTAAAAAGAAAAGAGGATAATTTGCATGATTCAATTAATTATACGTGTCGCAACATAATCAAGTGTATTAGGCACAATTTTCTCAGTTGTTGGAATCGATACGTTGATGAGAGCATAAGGCCCTCTTTTCTGTCATAAACGCCTCAAATGCGGAAAACGCATTGCCATCGATTTAAAATAAACATGGTAACTCCAAAAGTCGGCAAAAAACTACCATTTCCTCTCCTTAAAAACTGGTTCCAAATTATACAGCATACATACATCTTCCACCATATTTCAGAGGTAATTGAAAATTCTTTTCATGACTTTTGAAATTGAAAGGGCTGTGAGATAAGGTAAACATCAATGCTCTTAAAACCATTCATCATAAAATACCACCATACAATTTCCTTTGGCAGGGCACGCCAAAGATGTACTGGAAATTTTCAAAGTGATGGTTATCATAAGGACCAGTTAATTAAAACGTCATCATCGCGAGGACAGCCGAAACAGACCATGTCTGTCAAATTTTCCACCTAAAATTAATTTTTGCTCCTGGAAAACTATCTGCACCTTTTTTCAGAAAAATTCCCCACCGTCTTTGACACATGGCACTTTCAGAAACAAGAAAAATCCTGATAAATTGGCTTGGTAGACAATCTGACTTTAGCAGCCTCTGGTTTTTTGGCAGGGGATTTTTGAACGGACACACACAAACAATCTAAATTATTTTTCTACTAGCTTTCGGGGACTCTAATAGGTTCACGTTCTCAAAAAGATTTTTTCAAGAAAAGACATTGATAGGGTGATTGAGACCAACATCTGTGTTTAGAGTATTCCATTTTTACCGAATTTATTATACTTATTTCTTATGCATTACAGGGCAGATAATTTTCCGTGACAGTCAACAGTAATCTTGGGGTGTAAAATGGCCCAAAAAGTCCAAAAACCGAAAAAAATGAGACTTAAGTCAATGATCCCTCAATTTTCCTATTTTTTTTTTAAATTTCTTTCGTTTTGTATTACAACCTGGATGGCTAAAGTGACGATTCAAGAGAACCAGAAAATGACCGCCGAATCCAAACTGGATTCGTTCTTTTGGGATTCGTCCATGTTCTTTTGTACTTTTTGGACTTTTTTGAGTATGAGTCAGACAGATGATAATGAAGAGGGCAACAACAACGGAGATATGTATCGACGGACAAATTGCTGGTGAATAATGAGAATGTTTTTGATGATCGATGAGACGACAATAGGTGAATGGTGAATTCGTAAATACTGTTGCAGATGGAATATAAAGCATTGCAAGTGCGGTGCACAAAAAACTTAGCGCAAAGGATCTCTGCTGTGACTACGTGAAGAATGTGCGCTTTGTGCTGGACTCTGGAAAAAAATGAGATACGAGGCATAGTAGTTTTGTTTCAATGATATGTAACGAAATCTTTATTAAAAGTGCTAGTCTCTTTTTAAAAAAATGCAATACTACTTGGATAGAACCAGACGATTCCTTATTTCCAAAAAAGTCACAAAAACTCGAAACAGTTTAAAGCCACAGTACATGAATGAAAAGGAAAGTTCAATGTTTACTGTTTTCCTGGTTGACGCATGAGACTATTTTTGTGAATTGAAAGTAAATTCATTTAATGATAGTGGCTACACAGTGCAATGATAAGCGTGTATTTTGCATAAAAAATACATAACAAAACGCAGTATTCACAAGAAGCTTAGTTTCTGATAATACGTATCGACACCATAGTTATAGGATAGTCATACAAATCAATGATTGATTTACCTATGTCACTTTTTTGTAACAAACATGCAACTCTTATCGGTGCGTCATGATTTACCTTATTTATTGTCATTGTTTGAGAGACGCAGTTATCCTTGTTTCAAATGTAATAAAACTTTTTATGTATTTCAGTTTTCGACATGGCTACAACTTTCTCTCTTTCCTTTAAATAGAGATTCAACCCTTACAATCAGTGAAACTCAACTTGCCGTTGATATCCCGAGGTTCCTGAAAAAGGGGCTTCAAAACATCCCTTTTTAAGAGGCTCATCGCTTTTGAAAAATTCTCACGGACATTAGATTGATATCTCACTGATGTCAGGAATTTATGCTGAAAGGACAGATTGATTTGAGCAGGAGCACGCCTGACTCATTTTGAATGATATGAGTCAGTCTGGCCCATTTTGATCATGGTGCTGTGTACATAAAAATACTTTTATACACAATTTTGAATAAAACACTGGTTTTACCAAAATTTAAAATTTTGAGCAGAAATATTACGCATCGATAGAAAAATGACATACCTGGGACGCAGAGGCGTGTTCACTTTCTAATTTAGCACCACTTGTGGCTGCCATCTGCTTCAAATACTCCTTGTCGTCGAAAATTTTCTTATCGCCTCCACCAGGTTTGTATTTGACATTGTCCAGCGATCCTACTTTGCTTTGGGCCTTGATCTCAAGTTTGTGTTCCTCAATCTGCACACATCGATCAAAATGTATTAATAGTGCAACAAAAGTAAGTCGTACGTGTACCAAAAGACAGAAAAAATACAACTCATACACACGAACTGTCGCTTCCTATACGAAAAAACGTAACTGCAATTCAAATTGACATTTCCGTTCACAGATACATTTTTATTAGAAAACTGTCCAACGTTTTTCACTAAAAATTCCTTTAATTTTTCTTACAATCACCTACATAAAAAAATAATCAAAATCTTTAGTAGTAATCGAACAGCCTTATTTTTGTAAAAACTGAATTATTAGAGTCAAGTTTACTGGCTGCGTTTAGAATGAAGTTACGTCCCTCGTGTGGGAAACGAAATAATGAATGAAAGAACATATTCACTGTCGATATGCAGTCGTTGCCTGTACGCCGGAATATACAGCTCCTCTGATCCATCATCGTATTCTGAATATTAGTTCAATCGCCATTTACCTCTATGACGCCCCAGGCGCCTGATATAACAAGCGGGAAGCAACTATTCGACCACCCGAGTATGGCACAGTATCACTCGAAATTGAAGGCAAACTTAACGCATCAATGAGCCAGTGTAAATCATGAATATAATTAAGTCATCAAAAATGTGTCTCCGCTCCTCATAAAAATGTAAATCTCCACGATTAGAATTCGCCAATCTCTGTTATCAGTTCTGTTGTTGGGTAGTCCATGCATATTGAGGATGATAAATTGACTGATTTTTTTCTTAATCTTTGAATTTATCTTGCAAACAAGGAGCAAAAAAGGAGGTTTGAAAAAAGTAAGAATAACAAAAAACCTTTAACTCGTGAAAATCATGGACACGTCGGAGGTATATTATTATAGCACGGTCATGACACAATAAGACGTGATTTCCTTATGAGCATACATAAATGGGCGTGAGCATGAAAGTGCCTCAGATTCGAGGACTTAAGCACATCAATTAGGTTCATCAGATTTTTACTTGTAAAACCAGTGTTGAACTATATACGACAAGTATCTAAGAAGTTTGTATATAAATGAAGGCATGCGTATTACAGATTATCTATTGTAAAACAAACTACGACGATATGTTGTACAATTATGCATTTACAGTAAGGAGTAGATAAGTTTGTGATTTCTAAACTTTTTAAAACTTAAAATTTGACGATGATTTCACTCTGCATTCTTGGCAACCATAATATTACCTGTGGGGGGGGGGGCAAACATTCAATGGAACTTATGTTCATTTGAAAATTAAATGTCTGTAAGTGTGCGATCACAGCACCATAAGCAACCTATTTTCAGAGGACATCCACGCTCGTGAAAAGTGTTGGGCGACGCCTTTGAATTGCCACATGGCATGCAATGCTGCAAAGGTTTTGAATAACACCATTTCGTCATCATTTGAAGTCATCTCTGTGGCCATTTTAATGTTTTCAGTATATTGCCATATTTTTACCAGTATCGCCCGAAAGATCGTCAAAATTATAATGAGAGTTACTCAGCAAAACACGGTGATGCACTTTCCTCATGAGAAAGGAGTTGATTAAATTTTGAGTCTCTTTGAAACTGTCAACTCGGCTTCTGCCAAAGAGACAATTCTGTCCATGAAGGGATAGAGGACGGGAAATCATTTTGTTTATAGTCTAAATTTTTCAGTTTCATCCTGGACGACTGTTAAGATTAAGCACAGAATTGGAACTGATACATACGTGTTGCCTCTCAAGGAGTTGAAACTTTTGTTTAAATTGAACGGGCTCATTTGAACAATTTTCTGAAATTTTTCTTGTAAACTTATTTCCAAATGTATTTTCTTTCCGTTCAATGTTTTTTGAACGATAAACCTAGACACGAATTCATTAGCTTTTAATCAGTTTATCAAACCCAGCTGATGTGATATGAAAAGATAACTGCTACTTCATTGTTTATAAGACATGACACCACGTTGAAAATTGGCAAATTCGAATTGGGATGGTCATGGTTTTTGCAAAACTGGAGATAGAGTGGAAATTGTGTCTCACGTCATTTAACGCCGTCTAGGAGGAATGGAAAGTAAATAAAGTAAAAAGTCTATTCTCTCTAACGCATAAAAAACTCTCAAGAAATAGTATTTTTGGACTTGTTCCGAGCTAAATTAATATCGGATGACTGTGTGACTTTTCTGTCATCAAAGCTTTTATTTCTCAACTTAATTTTTGCCATCATTATTTCTGATGATATTAGGGAGAACGGCTGCAATCATACGCAATGACAACGTAACTTACTATCCATTTTTCGTATGTGGTCTCTCTTGTGGTATGTTCATGAATTGAAGGCACTTCTACAAAATGGACGCGTCGCCATACTCCTGGTCATTCATTAGGTAACTTAAAATTTTCAGTGAAATGAAGCCGCATATTAATGAAAACTTGGTGCCATTTTTCCGCCAGGAGGCAACAAGTCCAAGTGTGGATATTATTAATTCACAGGAGCAAAAAACAGGGATCGGAATATATCATCACACATGACGTCAGTATATGAGGAATAAAAGAACCAAAAGACCCTGCCGAATACATCATCATAAATGACTTCGACCACCGAATTTTTTTTAAAAAAAAGATAGCGTCATAAATAAAGAGAATTGGCGGTCGGGAATACTTTTCTATTTTTTTCTTAACTGTGAACTCTTATCACCAAGATACGCTCATGAGACTATGTAGCGCAACGAAACTATTATTTTCGCAGTTATCAACAATGCATGTAATATTTCGAGGTTTCCTAACACGTGGCTTACAAGAAAACAGCAAAAAAATAAATACTTAAATTAGAATTGAACCATCCATTTGGCAAAGGAAGGTCGAGGCAGGTCGTTAAAGTATCAATAATGAAAAAATCAAAATTTTGTGTGTGATCTATTTTGGAAATGGAAGAAATGTAAAAACGACTATACAGGAACAGGCTTGAAACACTGTAAGACTTTTTTTATCAAAAAATTTCACGCAAAACACGAAAAAAACTAATAGGAACCTAAAATTATACACACAAGCTCGTCATGGGCGTTTTTAGTTTACTCTGGAATCCGTGAATTCCAATTTTTAACTGCTCGGTCAGAAACCAGCTCAGATCAAAATTGAAAAAAAACCAAAAGCATCAGCTCAGAAAAAACACACCTCTGCATTACAAACGTCTTTTTTTGTTTTGTTTCTCTGTGCATAGATACTGTGAACCGATAGTAAATAACCGACGCTTTGACAGAATGATCACCTCAAAGACTACCGCGGATTGAGTTCAGCAATTACATGATTTGACTCAAAAATTCTGAGTTCATTAGTCTATCGAGGCGTTTGATTTGAATATTGAATCGGTTAAGAAAAGCATTTCTCACTAATTTATAATAAAAATTGATGATTTTCGGAAATTTCAACGTGCTTAAAGTGTTTTACGTGAAATTTTTATGAAGAAATATGCACGTGTATCGTGGGACATAATTTAGTGGTCCGTTTACAGAATCAGTGTCTATACCTTAAAAAAATGTCAGCACACATGGACCTACATTTACAGTATTGTGCTACCGCACATAATTTACTGCAGTCGTTTACCGTTTGTTTCAAGCACAGGCAAAAATGAGTCTCATTTATTGGGAAGAGTGAAAAATCTCCTTCAATTTTGCATGATACCACGAACATCACTTATGAGCTTGAATAGTTGCGCACGGAATCTTGTGGTTTTTGGGTGCGTAACTATGGCATCAGAATTCTTTAGAAAGATAATCCCTGTCACAACATCTCTTTTTATCACACGAAAGCTTCGTTTAGAAGATTCTGTGGTATTTATATTAATTGTTTTGTTTTCTTGTGGCCACGCATCTGTCAGGTCACGAAAATTCACCTCCAAATTTTACTCGCTACGATGCTAGGTGAAACTTCACTTCTTTTACTTTCCAAAACACAGACTTATAGGTGTGAGTATATAACTCGTTTTGTTGCATTCAGAAATTCATACTTCCCTATGACTGTTCATTATCAAGTGATATTGAATTTTAATTGAAATTTGCCTTTTTTTCTAATTTAAAAATTTAGCAAATTTGTTTAGACGTTATATTCATTAATTTGGGAATGTCAGGTGGATCTCCTGGCGGTCACCTTTTGTCAAATTTGAAATAAACTTGTGTAACAATTTAAAGTTTTCCGTTCAGTTTGAAAGAATGAAAACGAACAAGTGTAGATCTTTATTGCAAATTTTACACTTTTGAGAGCTGTATGAATCCATAAAAGCGTGAGGTACTTATATTAGTGCTGGAACAGTGGCTTGGCGTGCTTTGCGATTTATCGATTGATCTGCCATTTAAACCTACGGAAAAGTATCGATGAATAGGGTGTTCGTAACGAGCACCTTCATGATCGAGTTATTACCATAGCTTCAAATGGGGAAATATCGATAATCGATCGCTCACTCCTCGCCACTGTGCTGAAAGTGATGACTACTGGCAATGAATGGGGATATTCACTAAGGTTATTACTTTACATAATATTTCATAATCGTACATTTTTATGAATCAATAACAGTTATAGATTGATCAGCGTTATTAATTTGTCCATTTTATCACAATTTCATCGAGTGTTTTTTGTCATCAAAAGAATACATTCAGAAAAGCTGTGAAAATTTGTTTTCATTTTCCCATGTTTGTATTGATGAACATTCATCTATTTTGTGAAAGGCTAAATTTACAAAAGACAGTTAAGTGTTTTGTTTAGACCATGATTTCGAACTCTTTCCATACTACTGGTTTTTCTAGAGTATTCGTATCTGCCTCATTGAATGTCTTTGTTTATGATTTGCCTTTCCTACTCAACCCTTCTATAATGATTCTCTTCAGAGAGGACTGGTCCATTTGTTTTATCACTTATTATCGTTAATTTAAATCGAATTTTATTTAAAAATTAATAAGGACCAGTATTGCAAGTGATTTTTCAAATTCTCGACGTTGGGGTAAGTATCTGCTCCAAATTATGAGGTCATCAAATTCTTTTGGGGGTCTTTCCATCAAGGAGTTGTAATGATACTTTTTACCAGTATCTACATCATATGTTTAAGGTTGCAAAAGCCGTAAGTCATCCCATCCAGCCATCTTTGATCATCATCTTGAAAGCAAAAATGACGCTTTCGGGGAATATATGAAACAATATCTCTCCTCTGCCTACACAATTTGTACCTAATTGCAAACACCAAGACTGTTTTTGATCCAGTCATCTTTGATCATCATCTTGATAACAAAAATGACACTTTCGGGGAATATATGAAACAATATCTCTCCTCTGCCTGCACAATTTGTACCTAATTGCAAACACCAAGACTGTTTTTGAAGGTCTAAAAAAGGAATATTACACTCAAGAAATTGTTTATCCTCACCACATTATCCTAGTGTTTAAATCTCGGTATGCTCATACTATTTGAATATCTTTAAAGTTTTTAGAATGACGAAAAACGTTTATGCCTTAAACGAGTGATCAAATACTTTCTCCATATACTTTTTTCTCAAACGTTATAGGAAAGTCAAGGCTTTGGAGGCCTATAGTCATAGTAGTTGTTGAATGTCGCACAAAATTAGCTGGAATTTTCAAAGTGAACTAAATTTTGCAATCAGGAACCTCTGTTTCTGACTAATTCATAAGAATATCTATACCTGCGCAGCAAAACTGATGGAACGTAGGTTGTTTTGAAAGCAAGGCAGAGATAGCGGCTCTTTATTCCAAAATGTAGTTCACTTAAAATTCTAGCTTTCGATTTGCTCAAGGATGCCGATGGATTTAGTCTCAAGGACTAGATAATGTTTATCAAGGATTTAATCCAAAAACTTCAGTGTCTGATGATTGCTGCACTGGGTGAACATGCAGAACGAATATAAGTCTGATCGCTTCCCTCTAGTTCTTCACTCAAACGCAGTCATCTCTGTAGACATGACAATGATCAGTATCGTATTCTTCATCGAAACTTTCATACATGTACTGAAATAACATCATAACATCATGAACATACATGTTTACTCAAAACTTCATGCCAACTAATACTGAAGCGAGGATGAGATAGGAACGTGCAAGCGTGGGAAAAACTACGTCGTGGTAAACTTTATAAGAGAAACAGGTTTACTAATTTCTTAATCCAGTGGCGCAGCCAAGGAATTTAGTCCTGAAAATTTGAAACCCCCGCGCCAGAAACTTATGCGGGAAATTAACTTTTCCCGCAAATAGGAACTTTGAGCCTGTTTGTGTCTTTGGATTCTTCATCCTTCGATTGATGAAAAATTTTTCGCAATCGGTCCCCTTTCCGAGAAACTGGCTATTTTGGCCTCTGGTTTAGGCCTTAGTGATCTGTAAATTGAACATTTTAGTTTGTCTTTCCTGGCTGACACTATTTGAGGGTCGTATACAAATTACGGGATGCTAAGTCAAAACAGCATGCAAAAATCGAATAAATTCATGTGATTTGAACATGACTATTTCTGAAAATTAAAGGAGGACCGTCACGTTGAAAAATAGTCAGTTGCTGTGGCAAATCAACGATGTAAGTCAGCAATCACATAACCCGGTTTGCGACGTCGCAGACTTCCTGTCATGCTTTATTTTTTAAACGGAAAACTACTCAACATCAATTTTTTAAGACTACCATGATTTTTCTTGTCCGTGCGAAGGAAATTCTACAAAAACTTCAAGGAATGATCTCAGTCTGTTCTCCTTTAAAAAATAACATACAGGCGGAGATTTCCAGACACCGCAAACGAGTTAAGTGATTGCCGACTTACACCGTTGAAATGGTCGTTCATGCGTGTCAAAGAATCGTGCCCCACCACGTGGTATGAATGGTTTGCCATGGATAACTATGATCTCCGTATATTTTCGGTTGCTCTATAAAATTATTTTCTCCTCGATGTAGAATTTTAAATTTTTTTTCAATACAATGTTTCATGAGTCTGAGCTGCAACCATCCAGAGACGATTTCCTGACACGCTAAAAAGTCAATTTAATTTCAAGAAATTCCCTACTGTGGGAAGTGAGAAAAGCGAGGAAAAACTACTTCACACGGTGATATAAGATGTCACCCAATGTGCTGGATGGAAAATCTTTGATTTACTCACTTGAGGGCCATTACGTGGCCTAGACCGAGATCTCGACGCTCTAAGATTCTGCATTCAAATAGATGATCCAGCAATTAAGTAATAAGGTTAATATTCAAAAGCATTCAACAAAAGTAAAATATCATGAGACAAAATAATAGATGACAGCCTTCTGAGAAAATGCAAAAAAATCAGAACAACATGCATAATGCAGATGAATTTTAAGTAGCACAGACCGCATTACATTGCGTTGACAAAATGATTGTTTCTGCATCAGGGTGTTTTGTATGTTGCCTATCTATTGATTGAAGGGGCTTCTCTTGTTGAAATTCACTTCGGTAAAATGGGAATGAGTTGCAATTTTTATTTGCATCGAGAAATGTCTACCTTTCTGACGCATGGAAATCATTTTACAAACTGTTTAAAATCCAGCATGTATCAATCAAATAATGGCAAAATAGTGTTTTATTGCATACATTACAACTGTATCTCAATTCTCCTCAGTATCGTTCAAATGAAAAATTTATACAAGAGACTTTTTGCGCTTCTTTTGAAGTGTTTAAGAAGCTGAGTTGGACCATTTTAACACAGAGAAACTAGGATTTGAGCCCCTCAAAATCACAAAATGTTTCAAGTAACGATGCTTACGCTAAGCAAGGCTTATGGCTTTGTTCTTTATCGTAATGTGCATCGTATGTTAGCTCCTTCTTCCTTGTACGTAGTCATATTTTACGTGATGTATTGAACGCTTACTACAGCATGATCAAATCATGATTATCTAGAGGTAGACATGCAAAGTGACCTATACTGAGATGAAGATGCAAAGGTTCATGGAATGGACCAAACCGCGATCCGTTGCTTTTCAAACGACAGAACGTAGTTACTTTGTGACCGCGTTTAACAAAAAGGAACCAAGCCACATCAGATATTGGCAAATTTAATTGGGAAATTTAATTTTATACATGAAAACGGTTGTGCGGATTTCTGATCAAATTTCAGTACATTTTTTCCATAGTGCGAAGCAAATTCCTTAAAATTTTCAAAGGAATCCACACAAACGTTTTCTCTCGTAAAAAATTTAATTCCCAGTTAAATTTGACAATAGCTGATATGGCTTGTTTCCTCTCTGTTAAACGCGGTCCATTTTAGCCTGTTTGCATGCGAAAACCAGCAAAATGATGAATGAAAATGCTTGATCATATTCTTGCTGAAAATCGAAATGTTTGAGTTCATTCTGCATTCTTGGAATGAAGTTACGATCCTTCGTTTGAAAAACGACGAATTAATAGAAAGCATTTACTCAGTTGAATTGAAAAAGTCGCGAGCTAGTCATACAACGGAGCATACTAACTGTAGCATATTTAATGGGCGGAAGTCTAATAACTACAATAGATAATTTTGTCTAGCACAGAACGGATTTGGGCGATCATGACATCATTCCGCTATGAGTATTATGTGATGTGTTGCATTCACAAGCTTAGGAGATCGACTGAAGGAATGGTTCTTGAAAATTAGGATCACCAATAAAATGGTCAAAAAATTTTCTTTTTTTTAAACAATTTTTTTGAGGGTAAAAAGGCAAGGTTTTTCTTTACTTAGCTAAATACATTTTTCATATAAAATTGTTGATGACCGTTTTTTTGTTTCTATGAAGAAACCTCGCCCGAATAAAATCGAAAAAACCCTCTACAGGAAAACAAAATTAATTTACCTTAACAATATTTTTTTCTCTGACAAAAAAAAGTGCTACATTAATGTTTTTGATCATTTTTCCAGTAATCGAAATTCTCTTGTTGCGTCGCTTCCGTTAGGATCAACTAAGCCAGTGGCATGGCGTGCTTTACGATTTACAGATTAATTTGCCATTTAAACCTATGGGAAAGGATCGATATAGACAGGGTGTTCGCAACGAACACCGTAATAATCGATTCTTTACCATAGCACCAAATGGAGAAATATCGATAATCGATCATTCACGCCTCGCCACTGAACTAAGCATACTTAGAAATGCCAGTTCGCATGCTCAGCAGTTTTATTACTTACTTATCTCTGCACCATAAGGACCATTCAGGTGATTTTAGATTGACTGATCAGAGGAAATTTTCAGATAATTACCTTGACAGTACCTCCTCCCGGAATATGCTTCACATTTTCTTTGGATCCTATCTTGGGTTTCGCCTTGTCCTTGAAGTCTAGCTTTATCGTTTCTATTTTTTTGTCTCCTCCACCTGGTTTGTAAGTCGCATTTTCTAGGGATCCTATTTTAGATTTCGCGTTCCATTGTAGTTTTTGCTGCTGAATCTGAAAAATATACAATATTAGTAGTTACGAGTAACGCATGAGAAGAGTGATGACGGAGGAGGGAGGGGCTGGTGACTTCCACATTGCAAAAAATCTCTGTCTCGAAAGCATGACAGCATTTTAACCTCGAGTTTCAGTGTGATTCACTCGGTCCTCAAGTAGTTCCTCTTTGGGGGACTAGGGGCTATATCAGAACTAGAACTATAAAATTTCAATAAAATCTAGATACGGAAAAGACATCCAGCAACAAGGTTTAAAAGAGGGCTCAGTTGGACAAAAAAATTTTAGCCCATCACTCAGTTGTTTTTACTTTGCTGTAAAAGGACAATCACTGTTATCAATATTCGAAGTATCTAATCCCAAAGACGCTTACTGCTGAATTTTACTAGGAACGACTGTGAGTACCAATCGTAAGTTGTGTAAGATATTAAAACACCTCCGCTCTCTTTTTATTTTATTAAAAGAGAACAAATCCATATTAATCCTTGAAGTTTTCACAGAGTTTTCTTCACACAGAGATGAAAAATCACGGAAGTATTCAAGAATTGATGATTAGTAGTATTCCATTTAAAGAAAATAAAGTTGACAGGAGGTGTTGCAACGTCGTAAAGCGAGATACGCGGTCCATTAGTTTCACCGTCGATTAATAGCACTCCACTGGAAAAGGAACATTGTAGTTCACAGAGCCTCAAAACTTGCTTGCCGTTACCAGATCATAGCGGAGTTTCGCAAACTCTTATGGACGAGAACGGCCTGAATTTGTGAAAACAAACTAGAGTTTATGGTGCATGGTGCAAGTCGACATCATGTGGAAACCTTAAAAATGTATACCTTCCGTAAAAATGAAACAGATCGACGTTTAAACGTAGCTCGCTCGGTTTCCTCGTAACATTTCTCACAGATATTTCCCCTTAAAATTTATATATTGTCAAAGTAAACATGAAAATTCGATGTTTTACTTAAAAAATTTATGTCCAACCTTTCCCGAAGGCTCGTTCAATGTGTGACAATTTGATGTTAATAGTTCAAAACATGTTGTTTTCATGAAATGCTTTCCAGAATTGTAATCCGCCATGTTCGCACCAACTTGCCGGATTATTACGCAAAAATTGTATAAAATATTCGAAAATATTCATCATGGACTCATTTGATCAAAAAGTTTTGACTCGCATTATGATTCTTACTCGTATTTCACATCGGGATGCAATGCTACGGTTTCGGGGTTTACAGATGATTCTTTAGTGCTTCTCAAGAGCCTAATTTTTCTGATGAAAACTGTAAGATAAAAGGTGTATTTTAAAAATAATTTCCTTTTTTTGAATAGGGTAACTTTTAGGAAATCCATTAAGGGTGCATTTGCTGATTGCGTAATATTTGAAAAATGTCATAAAAAAGTCTGAATACTTAGTCCCGTTTCCATATACAGACAGGGTGATCCAAAAGTCCCTTCCATCCCCTCTAACTCTTCACCTAATTGAGGTAAAGATTTGAAACTTGGGGGATGTTCTTAAGTCAAAGAGAGTTATTTTTTGGCCCCCCTAAAATTTGCAGGGAGGCCCCCTTGAGAGAACAACGGACGCCTGATGTCAAATGAGTTTTTACCTCAATTAGGTAAAAAGTTAAAGCTGGTGGAAGAGACTTTTGGATCACCCTGTATTATACATGTACAAAAGGCAGACTAGAATTCAAATATAACGTGAGTTAAACTAACCTTTTTTTCACCACCACTCGGCTGGTAAGTTTCATTTTTCGCCGCTATTCTAGGGGCAGCCTTCCAGTCTAGTTTCTTTGATTCGATTTTGACTTTCCCACCTCCTGGTTTATAGCTTGCATTTTGTAGAGAACCAATTTTACTTGTAACTGTTTTTAAATTGGGCGACGGCGCTGCCCCTACTTGGATTTTGTTCATTGGCACTTCTGTGAAAACAACGAAAAATTTTAGTAAATGCACCAAAAAAATCAGAGACGTTAAACTTAGAGACTTTGCACTTACAATCTAATCAATGTAAGAGAAATCGAATGCGGCAAATAATAATGGTTGATGAGCACCTTGTTGAGTGAAAAATGAAATAAAATTCGCCGTATGATGACCGATAATTATCGAGATGAGCACTTTCTTAGACGAGTTTTGGAAAATTACGTTGATTGTATATTGCTAAACCATTAAAATGCTCAACTCTTTGGTCAAATGAACGTATTTCTGCCAAATGGAACCAGAGGCAGGTGGGAAATGAGGGGTGTGCTCGTTAGGCGAGGACTGTAAGAATGAATGGGAATTATAAAGCGTCAGTGACGTCAGCGGCAACGAAGCCGTCTCCGTTGTCGATCTTCCTCGGCCTTAACTCAATATCAAAACCCAACGGATGAATCCGAAAGAAAGCGTATATTTATCTCTGATTGCAACGTTATGCATCACTTGTTTGTTTTAATAAATGTAAATGTTTAATTAAATTTTTTCATTTAAATTTTAATACATGTTTTGACAACATGTATATTTAATAAATAAATGTTTTAAAAATAATACATTTTTTTAATAAATGTTTTTAATTAGCTACACGCAGTTTTTCTGCAAAGTTTCCGCGACTTTACCTGAATGATCCCAATTAAAAATATTGAAAATTTCGACGCGGTATTCCTGTTCGTTCTATTTCCTTTTAATGTGACCAAGAAAAATTAAATATCACCCGAGTTTATGAATCGTTACACTGAGGATACATATTTTCCCTTTAACGATGGGAAAAACCTGTGCAGGAAGTCAAGAATGAAGACACGCAGTCCTACAGCGTCCCTACAGTTTTGTAGACGCTAACACTGCGAAGAGAGCAGTAAGTGCATTTCTGTATGAGCCATGGTTAGCACTTGCTTTTACGTGTCTCGGGGTTCATCCTAGCATGAACTTACTGCTCTCTTCACTATCACGGCAGAATATGCGTTTCTCGCAAACTGACCGACTGCACTGCGTTTGGCGCAATGCGAGAAGTATTCACTCAGTCTCGTAGGCGCTAACATGGGCTAGGCGCTGACCGCACTCTTTGGCGCAATTCGTGAAGTATTCATTCAGTCTTGTAGGCGCTAATACTGCCGTGATAGCGAAGAGAGCAGAAAGTGCATTTCTGTATGAGCCATGATTAGCACATGCTTTTATGTGTCTCGGGGTTCATCCTAGCATGCACTTACTGCTCTCTTTGCTATCACGGCAGGATATGCATTTCACGCCAACTCACCAACTGCACTGCGATTGGCGCAATGCGAGAAGTATTCACGCAGTCTTGTAGGCGCTAACATGGGCTTGGCGCTGGCTGCACTCTTTGGCGCAATGCGAGAAGTCTTCACGCAGTCTTGTAGGCGCTATCATGGGCTTGGCGCTGACCGCACTCTTTGGCGCAATGCGTGAAGTATTCATCCAGTCTTGAAGGCGCTAATATACGTTAAACGCCGGCCGCACTGTGTTTGGCGCGATTATTCGAGCTCGTGCAAGAATAATCGCGGCATCGAATAATAGAGCTTAAAAAGGCCCATGTTGTGTTTCGACGCCGTATGAGCATTCCAACGTTGCCTTGTTTCTCACGATTAAATATTTTTCCCGAGAAAAATCAGGAAAGTTCTTCATGCCCACGACCATTATTCAACCTTTTCACTTCATTTATCATCAGAAGGTAAGACATCGATGACTTGTCGACAAACTAACCTAGACTAGCGTTAACATAAAAATGCGTTTCGTTTCCAACTGTTTGCTGTTTTGCCAAACCTCTACCTTAGATTAACTTCATTAAAATTCGCGCAAATCCTTGTGCATTTTCCGCGCAATCCTCATATATTTTCTTAGACCTTTCGCGCAATCCTGGATTACTGCGGCCAAAGCATCACAAGCGCCATGCGACGTTTCAAAATTTCCGCCAATATTTTATCTTTTTTACAGAGAAATTTTTCAACGAAGCTGTCCAAGAATTTTACGGAATTTTCCTTATGCTGCCGATAAAATTCAGTGAAATTTTCAAACAGATTCAATCAATAATTTCTATGTAAAAAAATAAAATTGTGGTGGAAATTGTGAAATGTAGCATGGCGCTTTTAGGGGGGGGATAGCTTTAAGCTACCTATGTAAGTAAAAAACACCTAAATAAATGTATCGTGCTCGGATTTTAAATGTATTTTTTTAATTTAAATCCAAATTAGTCCCTGCAAGTTCTTGGTTATTCATATTAGAGTACCTAACACTGAAAAAAAAAAACACATTGGATCTAGAGTCCAGACTCTTAAAAACATCGACAAGAAAAAATACTCTTGATTCAATCAGATTTAAGCTTAAATCAAGAACCAAGCCTTTTAATTTGAGCGGATTTCCTTTTGATTTAAGCTTAAATCTGATTGAATCAAGAGTCCATTTTCTTGTCAATGTTTTCAAGAGTCTAGACTCAAGATCCAATATGTTTTTTTCCAGTGAAATAGGGATAGAGTGTTGGCATCTCATTCTTTTTTGCACATAAGTATTCCAGAAAAAGTGTGCCACTCTGTGATTGGCCGGCGAGTATTAAGAATAATAATTTTAAGGTATAGGCAAAGGCATTACTTTTCCTTTCCTGTGATTCCGATGGCTCATCGGGTGTCTTCGGATTGCTCCTGGTTGGCGTTCGTGCTGTTCTCGTAGACGGCGATTTCTTCAATCCGGGGATCTTCGTCGGTGATTTGAGAGGCGATTTGAAGTCGCCGTTCGTAGATAAATCCTGTAAAACAGTGGAAACATGAATTATTCATAATGATTGTTGTGAGTTTTAAAGATTCGCATATTGCATCTATTATAATACATCTATCATAATGTATCTATTATAATGGAGATGTTGCATGTGTGAGGAATTTGCGATTTGACTGCCGACGCTTATGTAAAAGTTCACAAGAAACACGATGGTGCAACTGGTTTTCTCTGAAGTCATCTCCCAAGCTCCAAAAAACCCCTCTCAAGTTGAGGCCAAAACGGAGGGAATATTCCACGCTATCCTGAGAGTCCACTTCTACATCAAAACAAACTTTCCATGCAAAGGTAGGGAGCAAGTACATTAGCAGGGTTGTCGTGTTTTCAGTTTTGGAGTACCCAAATAAATTGGCAACCCTGCTATTGTATTTGCTCCCTATCTTTGCACGGAGAGTTTGTTTTGATGTAGAGGTGGACTCTCAGAATAGCGTGGGATATCCCCTCCATTTTGGTCTCAACTTGAGAGCTTTTTTTGAGCTCGGGAGTTGATTTCAGAGAAATCCAATGGCACCATCGTGTTTCTCGCGAACTTTTACATAAGAATCAACAGTCAAATCGCAAATTCCTCACACATGCAACATCTCCATTATATGTAATTATACGCATATACTTGGTCTACCTCACTCTCTTCCAAACAAATTGTTCTGCAAAGACCGGAAGACTTGATCATAAATATCACATTTTTTAACATAATTTGTCCTTCAAATTTTGCGACGCCAACAATTTTTTTCCTTTTCCAAACAAAACAAACGTGATTACATTCCAAGATTACATATCTCACGAAAGTAATTGACTTTTTTATCGAAATAGGACAGTGCAATTTTTTTAAAAAAAATTCATAATTTTTACCAGTAATTAGAGGAAAAATCTGTGGGATTTTCACATCAGATTTTCCAACAGTTTTCTGCTGAACATGAACATTTGATAGCGGAAGTTGTGGAACGTCGAATTGTAGTTACGTTCTTTTGTCTAGGATACGACGAGTTTCTACCTCCAAAAAAGCGATTAGAGAATCAGTGATGGCTGATCATTCGCAATGTGTTTCGAGCAGAATGCGATAGGCCGATCAGCACTGTCCGGAAGATTAGCAACACATTCTGACGAATTCCCATTTTTTTTTAAATTTTTTTTTTTTATTGGAGGCTTTTTAAAGTGAAAACACCAAGACGAGAACCTCATAGGGCAACTGTAGATAGGATTGTGTGTGTAATTGTGGGGGAATTGTTTGGTGCCCTTTCCTCATTTAAGATAATCCAATCGTCTTCATTGGCGAATCCAGCGAATTGGCAACATTGTCTTTTCTCCATTTAAACAAATGGAAATGTATCGATCTTTGGAGGGGCCAGGTGCTCTGGCAAGAGTCGATTATTTAGCATAGGTTTAAATGGAGGAAATCCGGTGTTGCCAAATTGATGTATCCTACTCTGATCGACTTTCTTGAAACGAGGCCGACCCTGAAAAATATTTGATTAAAAACACATTAAACTGCACGTACGGGGCAAAACATAAATTTGAAAATGACTTCGAGCATCGAGGGACTTGTAGCGCGTGGCATTGTAAACGTTGAAGTTTTAAGATGTCCGCCGTATCTATCTACCGAAAAAAGTGCATTTATAAAGAGTTGGTTTCGTTTCGTAATAAACGAAATCTGTGCCTGTCTTTCTAATGCGCAGGTAAAATGAAAGAAAAGGAAGAAAAATCGGGGAAGGCGAATAAAATGAAAGCACACAGGGCAAATTACGCAAAGGGGGGAGGCATATGTGATCCATTCCTTTAATACAGTTTAATTCTTCGGTTTCAATTTGAATCCTCTTCCATAATGGACTCAATTGAAAGAAGAGGAGTTCGGTACCAGCAGGCTATTAGAATTTTATCACAAAGTAATGTAACCTCCCTGAAAATTCTTAATCAGTAGTAGTAATCAGATATCTATGATATTTTTTCAAACGTTTTACTGTATTTTAGACGCTTGCGACGCATAATTAAGATTAAATATCATGAGTTTTGAAATTTTTTGAAGAGCGCACAATGTCAAAAATTAAAAAATTGGAGCAACATTTTCTCTTGAATGCTTTTCAGCGTGTCAATAAATTCAATTTTGCAATGCTTCTTACCTTTCTTTGTGTAGATTCGTCAACGCCACTGTCATGATCACCATCTGAAACAAAAGGGAAAAATATATTTTATTGAATAGTTCTTGTGTTTATTCTATTTTTTTATTTTAAAACTTCCAAGATCAAGCGCATCAAAATTACGCAAGTATAATTCATTCAAGCGCATCTTTAAAAAAGATTCATTTTATGCGATGAAAGGTTACTTTGATGATACTTCTCAAGATGACCTCTTAGTCTTGCTTGTAAGAACTAAAGCCACGATAAATCGTGATTTCTTTTGAACCGAATGTTATTGCAGGATCTATTAAAAGTATCAGTATGCACGCGTGTTGTGAAATGTTCATGTATCACCCATACGCACACGGCATACACCAACAAACTAACGGCTTCGCTCGGTCAGAGAACGCGATTTTCTCAGTACTAATAGGGGATCAGTGGCAAAAAATTATATTAACAGGGACGTCATTTGAGAGGGATTTCAAGGGGGACATTTTCTCTCCTCTATATTCTGAAAATTATATTTTTCCCGACTATTTTAGATAATTTTTATTTTAAATAGGAGCATTTTCTAAAGATTTGCTGCCCTCAAGCAAACTCCGTCTTCTCTTATTACCATTAACCCCCTCCCTCATCCCCCGTTTCATCCCAAAATTTGCCTGAAACACGTAAAAAGATAGTAAAAATAGGGCGAATCATCTGCATTTCATGCGTCCTGAAAAGTCATGGTGAAAAAAACGTGAATTCCATAGGAGCAAGAATTTCCGCAACGAAAATGACAGGAAGTAATTAAAGCCAAACGTTTCCGGCCGAAATGTCGTGCCGAAGAAATGCCGGCGGAGCTATCGATTGGTTCGCGAGTGAGTAAATTAAAATTCTTCACCATGGCAAGTACAAGTTTTCAATGACTTTCAGTTATTCAATCAAACTTTAACAACCGAGCATCCAAAAAGAGCGCACATTTTCACGCAAACTTGCAGTCCAAGTTGCACGGAACCCCTGCCGAGACCTCTTGGTTTTTTCTTCGGGGAATCGACCTATGTCAATGTAGGCCGAGCGCAGCCGATGACAATGTATTATAAGTCGGTGTGATTCATGGGCTTGACGGAACTTACAGCAATGTTGCCGTTTGGCTCTCATATATTATACATCGCATATTCGATATGTACTTACGATGAAACCGTAGGTACCGCCGGGTCTGGAATGTGAGCAGCTTCATAACTGAATGGAAACCGCAGGGTGAACTAATCAAGGAAGCATTTTTCAAAAATGCGTTTCACTCATTGTCAGTGAAGGTTACCGAAAATTGACAATTCAGTTTTTCCTCCATTTAAATTCATTATAAATATCGATTTTGATGAGGCAGGAGTTTATGGTTCACGTACATTTAGACCCCATTTAGCAAAAAGGAACCAAGCCACAACAGCTATTCCCAAATTTAACTGGGCAATTTAATTTTTTTACGAGAGAACGTTTGTGCGGATTTCTTTGAAAATTTTGAAGAATTTGCTTCGATGTAGTATGCAGAAAATGCACTAGAATTTGCACCAAAAATCTGCACAACCGTTCTTTGTAAAAAATTTAATTGCCCTGTTAAATTTGGCAAAATCTGATGTCACGTGGTTCCCTCCTGCTTAACACGCTCCATTTAATATAGAAAAAACAGTTTTACCAAGTTGCGCTGCACTTCAACCTGCGTTTCTACATTTCATATTATAAAGAGTCTGCGATAGGAAACCCATATGAAAAAAATATTGGCATTTAACAGCACGCCCATGCTTTTGAACAAGAGACAAACCAAAACTAGCTTATTCGCAACATACCTTTTGACACAAAACAGAAAAACCTAGTTGAAATATACCTTCTCTGCCAACTTAGACAAATAGTAAGTAAACATAGATGTAAATTATGGTGCATTAATTTTGAACTTTTATTAACATCGAATAATTTTATAACAAACTTGTGCATTTCCCTTTTGTTTTTTAAAGAAACCTAAAAACCATTGTGTCAAATTGTGCTGCACAGCTGTGTAAAAATGAGTTCACCGAGGACTTCGTGAAAATGCTCTCATATACCTCGGTTATTTACGTCAGGTTATTTAGGCGTGTTCTCAAAAGGTCCACTTATTTCGAAGTCCCTACTGCAGGAGCTTAGAATTGATGATGATTACATTCCATTTAAATGAAAATCAAACCCATTTAATTATTCTTTTTTCAAACGGCCGTGCATTCAATAGAAAAAAGAGCAGTGTTTAGCAAAATGGAACTGCTTTAAATGAACCTCATTAAAAAGGTTCTTAGCGTTGAAAATGATTAGCAGAAATTTCGTTTTTCCCGAGGAGAAAATTGTATTAATTAATTTTTATACTGACTCTTTTAGCATTTAACATAAAGCTGACAATCAGACTCCTCAATCCCCAAAGTTCAGAACTCTCCTAATTAGTGTATCCTAAATATCTTGTTTGGTTCGGACGATCGGTGAACCAGTGGCTGATTTCCTGGTTGGCAACTCAGTTTTACCTCCATTTAAATCCATTAAAAATATCGATTTTAGGTGAGATGAGATGCCGCATAAGGAATCGATTGTGTTATCTACATTTAAATGGGGGACAAAAAGTGTTGCCAACTTTCAAGAATCGCCCCTGGGATGAACTCATGATCGCAAAAGCTGCGCTGAAAACTCAATCGCCCACCTTCAATGACGATCCTGGCTCTCCTGACTTCCCCGGGCTTTTGATCCGGCGTCCTGGCATCGCCGCCCATCCGCCCGTTACCCGGCCTCTCCGGGGTTCCTACCCGGTTCGCCGAGTTCAAGTCCAAAGTCATCGGCTTCTGCGGACGCTGTTCTACTTCCTCCATCTTCACATACTCGCCCCCGTTCTGGAGCCGAGGACCCGGAGTCCGCGGTGGGGTCCGCGCGTAGTCCACGGGCGGCCGTGGAGGACCATATGGCCCTGTGTAGTCCTCGGGGCGTCGTCCGTCGTAGCCCACGGGCGAAGCCTCCGGGTATCGTGGGGTTGGCGGCTTCGCCGCCATCGGGGGAAAGCGATCGGCTTCGCCGATCGACGCCCTCGAGTCCATCCTCTGGATCATCGGGGGTGGCACCCCGTTGCGCGGGGTTGGGGGTTTGCGGAACATGTCCGCAGGGCTCTCCGGACGTGCACCGTCGGGTGGCCTCCGGGGGTTGAACCGGTTCGGGTCGTCTTCATCGAGACGTGGGCGCATCATGGGTGGTGTGTCGCGTCGATCCATCGCCGTGGCTGGCCGGGGTTCCATCATCTGCTTGTCGTTTGAATCCCTTCGAGCTGCGTATTGCGGGCTGCTGGAGGGACGGTACCCCGTCGGTACCGGGGGGTAGTGCATCGTCGTCGGGCTGTCCCGCCCTTCTGGCGTCATCATCCCCCTCGTCGGCGTCTCGCGTCCGGACATGCTCTTCATGCGCATCATGTCCGGGGGTAGTTTACCCTCAACCACGCCCTCGGGCGTTGCTGCCCGGAACTCCTTCGTTTTCGGCGAGTCGATTTGCTGGGGGTACGGCGCGGGGGTTGGGTTCATGTTGGCTCTCACGTACTCCACGGAGGATTTCTGCTGGTACTCCACGCTGTTCTGAAGCCGCGGGTCTGTTGGTAGTTTCTCCTTGAGGATAGTCCACGCGGATTGTCTTCGGATTATGCTAGAAGGTGGCGCCCTCTCGCCGGTCGGACTTTGTAACTGTGAGTCGGACCTTTGTACATTTGGATCGAAGCTTACTTTCTTTTGTTTCTCTTGGTAGTCCCCGTTATCAGCCGTTTCATCGCGACGTTGGTACTGCTCTGGCGGTCGGTAGGGCGGTCTGTAGTCCGGGTTGGAGGGTGGTCTGAACGCACCGTCGGGTGGGCCCGGTGGGCGTGGTTGGTTCGGGGGTGGAGGTCGCGGCCGGTACTCGGGGTTGATCGGCTGTCGGTACCTTACACTCTGTGGTGGACCTGGTGGTCCGGGCTGTCCAGGGGGTCCCGGAGGTCGGGAACCGGGGGGTGGTGGAGGTCGATAGTCTGGATTCTGGAATCGGTAGTCTGGAGGTGGGGGTCTGTACCCGGGTGGGGTTTGTTGTCCGGGTGCTGGTTGGCGGTAGTCTGAAGGCGCCGGACGGAATCCGGGACCGGCTCTTGGGTCTCCTTGTGGAGGTCCCTGTGGAGGCCCTTGCGGAGGTCCTTGTGTGGGTGCTTGTGGCCTATTCCAGTTCGGTGGATATCCTTGAGTTTGTTGAGGAGGCGGCCTTACGTTCGGGTTTGAGTAGTTGCGGAGCTCAGGCCGAGGGGGTTGGTTGCCTAGTGGTTGGTTGCCTAACTGCTGTCTGCTTTGCTCCGGAGGTCTGGTGGCCACAAATTGCTGGTACGGGTTGTAGGTTGGCGCTGGTTTTTGCGGCGAGGCACCTCTTACTGCGCCTGGCTCCTGTAGATAAAACAAATGCAAATTAATTCCATAAAATTGGTAGATTTTCAGCATGCAGGGAATTTATGATAGCATGCGTTTGACGTAAAGTATTCGACGATTTATTTTAAGTTTCGTTTTTATTTTTAGATTGCTTGAGTGGGAAAAAGTATCCTGGGCGTAAATATTAGTTTCACATTTCTGTAATAGTTTCAGACATTGTTGAAAACTAGTATGAATTGAAAAAGATCAAATTTTATTGCGTTCACGCCTTAATCTGTGATTGGGAAACAAAAATCTTCGATAGTGAAAACCTTGCCTGTAATGAAGAGTTCCCCTGCCGAAATATGACGGAAGAACCTTTTAAGTAATTTACAAACAAATGACTCTATTAAGCTACGTTAATTGTTTAAATATTTTACCCGACATGTGTAAAACGGAAAAGAAAAAGGAAGGAAAAAATAATATGTGGAGGTTGATTTTTTGAATATTTACGACGAATAAAACTGAAGTATTATAAGACAGAAAACCATCGGTAAGGGATCATCATAAATGTTTGTATGAAAAAAACGGAAGAGGCTAGCTTTAAATTTCTTCATTCATAAGAATCCGATTGAAAATTACGCAAATCAAGTAAGAAAGTCGCATAAGGCCATTGGAATCACAAGTAGCCAGTTCCCTTTATCAATCATTAGTTTCATATTCTTTATACACCAATAATTCAAAACTAAGTATTTGACAAACATGACTTCTAAAGTCAAGTTATGAAGCGGTTGAGAGTAGAAAAAACAGTCGTTTAATGCTACTGGCAGCTTTTATTCATGATTCTCGGTTACAAAAACAAAGCCCCCGCCCCCTAAAAAAGATAGGTCTAGATAAGACGATGAGGTTCATATTATGCGTCTTTTTCATGAACGAGCCTTTTGAAATTGATCATTGAAACGTAATCTTCTCTTCGTCGAGTACCCTTAATTAACAGTCGATACGCTCTATTTTCAATGTTATGTAGACGTCATTTGGACGTATTTCTGCCAAACGGAAGTATGTGCATTAAGACACGAGCCCTGAGACCCATAAGATTACATGCATTCACAGAGCTCACGTTATGATGCACATAGTCCCGTTTGGCAGAATACGTCCATTTTGCAATGAGGAACCTACATATTTGGCCCACCCAACACCACGTATGTGCATAGAAAGACCAATGGCACATACGCTATTTCTAAAATGAACTAAAGATAGTTATCCCTCACTGCAAAACTCTTATTTTCAGTCACTTTGTCGATCAAGTTTCGCTATTTCATCCGCGATGCAGTGTTTTGCGCTGCATTCAAGTGGCAAACATATTACACAGTAAGTTTTTTCATTCTTTCAGTTTCTGTTCGTGGAAAATGCCCCCTCAAAAATTATTGAATGGATGAAACTGGTATGTCACCAATCATACGAATCCAAACGATTAACAACACTCGTGAGCAACACATTTCTCCTCCACCTCGGCGGTTATGCAATTTGTGCGGCTTGGGAGTTGATTTTGTTGCATCACCGATTCTCGTCGGTCGGAGCTGTATTCATCGAATAATGGGATAATTTGGAGACAAAGACCATTTTTTAAGGAAAAGAATGCGCTCATTTCTTATTAAAACATCTAAAAACTAATAAATTGAAATATGAAGAAAAAAGAATTTAAACATCGTCAGTAAAACTCCTCTCCTCATTTAATGTAAGCTTGGTTATTTTCCTCAAGATAAAATCAAAAAGGCTTGCGCGACTTCAGCATTGATATATTATTGTACGTGAATATAAAATTCACAAACCTCTCGATGATATTGTTCATCCATGTTGAATTCTATATGGATATCGCTGAGAGTAAATATAAAGTGGATCATAAAGTAATATAAAGTGAGCGACTTGAGTGTTGATCTATTATTGTACGCGAATATAAAATTCACAAACCTCTCGACGATATTGTTCGTCCATGTTGAATTTCATATGGATATCGCTGAGAGTAAATATGAAGTGGATCACCTTATTTGACACTGCACGTCGTCCAGGTTACTACATCATTGATAAATTTACGTATGAAGTACAACGCTGATGGGACGCAAACATGTAGGTGGTTGTGAAAATGTTTTTGTTTCAGAACATGAACTGCATCAAGTCAATTTATCAAAAATTCCACAGTCTCTGTTGTTAACTGATTTTCAGTTGGAAATTTTGAAGTTTGAAACTCATTTCACTATTATGGAGTGTGATTGTGTTAAAAATGTAGATTATTTACGCGCACAGAAATTATTAAGTACCCGAATTTCATATCAATTCATCCGATTAGCTGGCATATTCCATATACGTTTTGGCCTCGGCACGAACATTAGAATTTTTTTTTGGTAAATGTCATTCTTTATTCAAATATAAACATTTCGAAATGGTCCTCATTTGTTAGCTGAGATTAATGCTTGTCACCTGATCTCTGTCACTTTATAGCTCCCACTGATAATTCACTAAAACGTATTTGACTTCTTTTTTTTCAAAATAAAAATTTTAATGTAAGTCCGTCACTTAAGAATGAATTTCAAATTTCACCAGCCACTAAATTGACTCAAAACACTACTGTGATTTTTTCAAATTTTTCACATGTTAATCAATTAAGAGAGAAACGACTCAATGTACTCATGAAAGAAACTTGTCACAAATAGTTTCAACAGACTGTCAGACTTTTACCGACTGGTGTAAGCAATATCAGCAAATTAGGATCACTCGTTTTGAAAAAAAATTAGGATGTTCTCACTTCATTGAATTTAAATCACGACAGAATTTTCGGCGAAATTTTATCAGACATGATTTAAGAAAAAATTCTACATGCTGATCTAAGTTGCAGTTACTGATTTAGTCGAAGGGTTTTATTCATAATTCAAGTTTTATTATTTGGGAAGTTTCCACGTTTGTTCAGATGTTTAATAACGGTTTGAAGGAAACCTGTCAGAAGCAATTGAAACACGTTTCTGAATTGTGTAGACGCGCCGCGGAAACTCAAATATTGAGAAAAACATTCGGATTTTAGAAAACATTCGATAATCGAGTATCTGCACTTTTCTACAGATTACAGCGAAATTTATTTTCTAGATTTTTGGGGGAGTCATGTCAGAGAGAATCTAAACGGACCGTTCATTCCAAAGGGTGAAATTTCCAAAAGTTTCAGAAAGTCATCAAAATTTCAGAATCACGGTAAAACGTTCCGAATGTTTCCACACGAAAAATATGCGAGGTTGCAGAAATGCACATACACTCATATTTTAGAGAAAAATTGGATAATAGGAGTATCTGCACTTTTTCGCTTGATCACTAGAGATTACAGCGGAATTAATATTCTAGATTTTTAAGGGAGTCATGTCAGAGAGAATCTGAGTGACATTTTAAAGGGTGAAATTTCCAAAAGTTTAAAAAGTCGTCGAAATTTCAAGAATCACGGTTAAACCTTCTTAATGTTTCCACACGAAAAAGATGCGAGGTTGCACCTGCACGTTTCTCCTTTTCTCTTGATCACTATAGAGTTTACAGCGAAATTTATTTTCTAGATTTTTAAGGGAGTCATGTCAGAGAGAATCCAAACGGACCGGTCATTCCAAAGGGTGGAATTTCCAAATGTTTAAGGAAGTTATCGAAATTTCAGAATCACGGTAGAACATTCCGAATGTTTCCACACGAAAAAAATGCGAGGTTGCACACGGACGTTTCTCCTTTTCTCTTGATCACTAAAGAGATTACAGCGGAATTTATATTGTAGATTTTTAAGGGAGTCATGTCAGAGAGAATCTAAGCGGCATTTTAAAACGTAAAATTTCCAAAAGTTTAAGAAAATCATCGAAATTTCAGAACCACGGTAGAACATTCCGAATGTTTCCACACGAAAAAAATGCGAGATGCACATGCACTTTTCGCACTTGGTGAAACTGTTAAGTCATTCTAACGAGTTTTCAATTCCTCGCGGCTAAAATCACGCAAGTCGGGGTGAAATCTCCCGGGCCGAGCAACAGGTTCGGTCGTCCATAATGTGTTCACTTGTTTACATAATGACTCGACGCTGCGACGAAACTTTTAAGGGATCCCGGAATGAACTTGTCAGAGATAATTTTCGCGGAACCGACTCCCCGGGAAGTTGATACGTCTGGAGGAGAATGAGTAAGACGTCAAAGTGGGCGACTCAATCAGGCCGAGGGACGGTGGGCGCGAAGTGACTGGCAACAATTTACCCCTCAAGGTTGCCGTAAAAAGGCTTGTGTCAAAACGGGGGCTCGAACTGCGACGGTGAAGCTCCGTGTCGTGAACTTGGGGTATTACTCAGTTTGTCAAAGAGAGACGTGCCCCGGGCTGACAGTTATGGGTTGCATTTGACACCTCTTCCTCTGTTCCACCGTCGGTGGCCTTTTCAGCCGTGCTCAGGAAAAACGCCGTATGAAAATTCGGGCGTTGCCAAATTTCCTCTCGCAAATCACTAATTTTCAGGAAGATTTTTGAATTTTTTTCTGCCGATTTCTCACACTGGAAAAAAACACATTGGATCTAGAGTCCAGACACTTAAAAACATCGACAAGAAAAAATATTCTTGATTCAATCAGATTTATTCAGATTCTGCCTACTTTTCAGAAAAATTATAAATATTTTTCCTTGAAATTTTCGGATACTTTAGATCAAATTACAAACATAATTATCTGCACTGGAAAAAAATACACATTGGATCTAGAGTTCTGACCTCGTAAAAACATCGACAAGAAAAAATACTCTTGATTCAATCAGATTTAAGCTTAAATCAAAAGGGAATCCGCTCAAATTAAGAGGCTTGGTTCTTGATTTAAGCTTAAATCTGATTGAATCAAGAGTATTTTTTCTTGTCGATGTTTTTAAGAGTCTGGACTTCAGATCCAATGTGTTTTTTTTTCCAGTGTGAGAAATTGGCAGAAAAAATTCAAAAATTTGTCTGAAAATTAGTGATTTGCGAGACTAGATTAGATTTGACCAGACACTGG